TTCTCTACAGACACACACACACACACACACACACACACACACACACACACACACACACAAATGAATACGAAATGATGGAAATACGAAATATGAAATAATATATAATAACATAATGAGTTATGTTATTAAAATTCTATCATTTATTTCAGATGACGAATTGAGACTAACATTCCCCGTGAGAGACGGTATAATTCTTCCACCTTTCCGCCTAGAGCATAATTTGGCTGTTAGCAATCACGTGTTTCAATTGAAGTCCACGGTGCATCAAACGTTAGCGTGGCGATCAGATCTGGAGTTGCAGCTCAAATGTTTCCATCATGAGGATAGGCAGATGAATACGAATTGGCCGGCGAGTGTGCAAGTCTCCGTTAACGCGACTCCCCTCGTGATCGATCGCGGGGAGAACAAATCTTCCCACAAGCCTCTCTATTTGAAGGACGTATGTCAAGCAGGAAGGAACACGATACAGATTACCGTATCCACGTGCTGTTGTGTAAGTTTGAGGATATCAATAATTAAACGATATGCGTTTTACGTATTCTTAGCAATGCGAATCCTCGAGAATGAATTTTTGTTTCATGTAGGTAAATCCCGTGTATTCAATCGAATATATTTGAGATATGCATATCTATTTATTACTTATAGGTTTAAGATTTTTCTTTATTTTTATTTTTAGTTTTTTTTTTTTTATCGAATACCTTTGCCCAGGATGTGCGTGTATTTATTAAGTATAGGCTTTTATTTTTATTTTTTATGTTTTTTATTTTCTAGTTTTTTATTTATTTTTATTTTTTTTTGAGTAATTTCTTATAGATAGATATGCATTCTCCATAGAATGCGTGTTCTGTTTCACAGTCGCATCTATTTGTACTCCAATTGGTTCATCGACCCAGTGTACGAAGTGTGCTTCACGGATTACTACGTAAAAGATTGTTGACGGCAGAACATTGTATAACGAAAATCAAAAGAAACTTCAGTAATACAATGTCAAACAATGGTATACAGTCAGAGAAAGACGTAGTGGAACAAACAGCACAAAAGGTAAAATTCATAAAAGTACTTTAAAGCTCTTCTTTAATCCTAAAGTTTTATGGCTCGAAATGTCAATTATGTATTATTATTTTAAGTTATGCGGATCTTGCCAACAGGTATCTTTAAAATGTCCTATCACCTTTAAACGCATTACACTGCCAGCCAGAGGACACGATTGCAAGCATACACAGTGTTTCGATTTGGAATCGTACTTGCAATTGAATTGTGAACGAGGAAACTGGAGATGTCCAGTATGCTCGTAAGTAATAATTAAATTGTCAAGAATTTTTACGGATTTCTCTATTGAAATTAAACATAAAAAAATACAAACGAATTGTCACGTTTACAGGAAACCCGCACAGCTGGAAGGCTTGGAGGTCGATCAGTATATGTGGGGTATTTTGAATACAATAAATACCGCAGAAGTTGACGAAGTGACGATAGACTCGCTCGCCAACTGGAAACCCACCAAGAATTCACCTGTTAAGTCTGAAGAAGAGAATGATTGTAAACGAACAACCAAGGCGATGTCACCGGGCAGTATGAATATGCCAACTATGAACAATTGGGATATGAACCAAGCTATGAGTCCTTATATACCGCCCGACATGAATAGTATCGTGAGTGGTTCGATGATGAATAATACATCTTCCACGTACCAGAATAACAGCATGAACCACCGGAATACATCCGGCGGAACGTACGAGATAAATTCCGGGACGAATACTATCGGCAATAATGATTATGTCAGCGGAACAGGTCCGCTTTCACACTTAAACGAATCCGTTAATTCTTTAGATCCTCTCAATGCTATGGAGAAATCACTCAACGACCAAGTACGTTTTATTATGATTGATTAAATAATAGCGATATAAAAATACAGAAATATTAAATATAATGTGCACGTTGCAGATGCCTCATACTCCTCATACGCCACATACCCCGCAATCTACTCCTCACACACCGGCTGGTGGTGCCAGTGGTCCGCCAAGCGTTCCGCCAGCATCACAAGAATCTACGGGAAATCACAATACCTCCGGCAATACAAGTACAACTATAAATAATGACACCGCTACGGACATACCGTCGGACTTAAATTTCGATCCCGCCGCAGTTATAGATGGAGAAGGTACCGGCCAAGAGGGATTGAATGTAAGTATTAAAAGAAGCATTAAAGAAAACACCGCATTAAGAGAAAACACTTTAGGTTGAAATATTTCTCAAGTCCATTCAACAACGTGTTACCTGTTATTACAGCTCTTACCAGACAATGTAGATGCGATGGATCTCCTCTCGTATCTCGAACCACCGGACCTAAACACTCCCCCTAGTAGCGGCGCCAGCAGTGGCAATCCTTCCTCTAACGACGACATATTAGCACTCTTCGAGTAAGAAAAAGAAATGAATAAAAGGCGAGTGACTATTTCGTAATCAAACTACGATCCCCCATACTTTATAACAAAACGGTAAAACGAATTGACATCTCGTTGCAAACGTTATTTTGACTACAGTATATCTTCGTGCGAATTCCTTAAGAAACTCTATATGATGAAATTGAACAAGATATTCAATTTCGATTTCTGATTAGAGACTGAGTTCGGAAGTTACTGTATGCGAGCGCTTGCAGTGAGAAAAATTAAATTTTATTGGGGTCACTGTGGGTGCTCTCACCTAATCAATGGTACAAATAATCTTAATTATAACTATAATATTCCTATTAAAATTAGAGATAAAATGCTAGAGTTAAAGAAATGATTTCTAATGATAATACAGCAAACACCATACCATTCGTAAAGACGTTATTGCCTAGACAGCATCTTGATATCGGTATCGTATGTATGTGTGTATGTATGTATGTATGTATGTATCTATCTATCTATATATACACATATGCGTGCGTTCGGAAGATATGCTTTTGAAAGTGGTGCGTTAAACAACACGCCAGATAATTATTCCAGAAACGGTTTTAAAGCATATATATTTAAATAATTGATTGCTGTACTTATTCAGATATTCATAGATATTCAGCTTAAATTATCATGAATCATAGCAATGGTCAATAAAAGATATCTATTAACACGTTTATTATAATCCAAGAAAGTATCTTTCAAAGATGCTCCTTATCTCTTAATTTCCGTTTTTTTATATAAAAATAAGAAAAAATAATTTAACATATTTAATGATAAACATTTGTATACAACTCGTGAGACAGGATATTGTAAGATCCTATATCATGGGCAATGTGTAAAAAAAATTATTACATTTTGCTTCATAAGATTCTGTATATTTAGTATGTTTATTTTATCACGATAAATTATATTGATTCATCACGTTAAATTATAGTAATGAAATGAACATTGTATTGTTTTAATTATTTATGAATTGTTTATGAATATTTGTTTGAGTGCAGACTATCATGCTGTGCTAATTTACAAACATTTCGGAATATTTTGAAGTTCTTGCAATAAAGTCTTTATACTGGAAAACCGGTCTATTCGCATTCAAGGCTATGATAGACCTATGTCGCGACAAAAAAAAAATACTGTACAGACCTACTTTTGTAAATAAATTTTAATCGAGATAAAAGTAAGATATTCATCGGTTGGGATTTCCTCCCGCCTATTGATGGATATTGTGCATATAGTGTTCCTTTCCTTTAGATTATAGCAACAGATGGAAATGAATAAACTAGGGGATATCGGGCTTCACACTGGAAATTTAATAAGAACACGTGATGTATCTCCCGAGATAGAAAATACAGACATGAAATGAAAGAGAGTACAAGGGAAATAGGATTATCTGAGACAATTGAAAAAGTCTAATAATTTTATCATTTTCAGCAGATTTTAGCTCCATACAAGGATATCCCTGCATATATATTTTGACTCTTGTAAATATGAAAAGATATGCGTATATCTAACATTTCGGAAATGTTTAACACTCGAAATATTTATATTATTTGCAAAAATTTCTTTGTCGATAATATAATTCCAAGTTATATATATAATTTCCAAGTTCCAATTTTAGAATTGGAAATTATATACTTTATAGATGAGAGAGGTTTATATATACATATATACACATATATACAGTATTAATAAGAGAGAGAGAGAGAGAGAGAGAGAGAGAGAGAGAGAGAGAGAGAGAGAGAGAGTAGTAGTACGTACG